AAAAAAAATCTTATAGTCTATGACACTTTCACAAAGGAAATATTGGACTGGGTCTATTGCACACACACAAAAAAAGAGAAACTATGGCAATTTATTTCATGATGGAACAGGTAGAATTTTTATCATTTTTATTAAGAGGCCACCACATTCTCATAAGAGCACTCTAAGGAAAACAGTGCTTGACTTTTACAACGTTGATTAGATTAATTCCTCTTGCTTCTCCTAGGCATCTCTTGACCTTCCTGGACTCTGCCTTGGTGTAGGCACCTCTTAGTTGCTGTCACCTTCTTATAGACTCCAGATTGCCCGTGCTGCCCCTTATCTGCTCTTCCATGACCACCAGATGGCCTTCCACCCACAGGATGACCATGCCACTCCCCCGCTCGGTGGCTTCCCTTCACCTACAGAACAAAGCCTCCATGCTTAGTGTGAGCCACACAGCCCCTCGGGCCACCCAGTGCCCTACCTGAGACCCATCTAAAAGCAGACCTGAAACAAGGACTTGGACACTGGAAATTTCAGATGAAGGGATAGACTGACCAAGACAATAAATCAGAGAAGGCAATAGAAAGGCGCATTGAATAGAAAATAAAAAAGAAAGACAAGAGGCGGGACACTTGCCATGAGGTCTTCTCCCATTGGTTGATAGAATGGCTGCCTCAGAAACATTATTTCCCACCAACCCTGACTTCTAGGCTGAGCTAGTTCGCTGATTCAAAAGCTGGGAGATATTCTGAAGCTAGTGTGGGTCTGGAGGGCTCTCCAACACAGCTGCATCTACAGCAGGGGAGGGCCAAAGAGTGGCACTGGATGCCAGTCGCACCTTCCATACCTGCATAACCAGCTTCATCACCCACACTCCCACCCCATGAACAAAGGGCATTTCATCCACACCAAAGCACTTCCAGATATCTCATGCTCTCTTCAGTCCTTCCTACCTGTAGGCTCTTCTTTCTGCTAAAAATATCTTTATCCATCTGCTACTCAAGCCTCAGAGGAAGTAGCACCTGCTCTGTGAGACTTTCTAAAATTCCTTAGCAAAGTGTCCAGTCTCCTTGGCCTCTGTTCACAGCATAATTGTCCAAAGCTTGCTCATAGCAGTTCCTTGTTGAGTTATAGTTATCTATTCATAGGTTTGTTCCCCTAGCCACACTGCAGTCCCCTTAAAAACAGAGGCATGCTTTCTCATACCTGTTTTCCTACTGCTGGTACACCTGGCAGAACTTCAAAGTCCAGAACATTAAAATCATGTGATGATCAAATCACAGTATTATCAGGGAACAAACACCCAGGTTGTTTAGTAGAAATTCTACCCCATTGTCCTCTGTCTTTTGGATAATTAAAATTTTCAGCAAAAACAATGTATTACTGAGGATAACAAATGTTTTCCCTATGTCCCCAAACCAAGTGTTGGGTTAAGAAATAATCTAATAATTAATTCACCTTTGCAAGGATCATCTCCAAAATCAATGATACCATGTGGACTATATAATTTAGATATATTATATACAATGTATCCATACTGTTTAAAATTTAGCACTTAATTTTGTTCAAGTCATTACACCAGGTGCATTTACAAGTTTATTCTTAGCATAAGACAGCTTCACAACTGCAACGAAAATACTGAGCATACTTTTTCAGAAGGAAAACACAATTTTTAAAACTATAAAATCCCCAGACAGAATCTTAATAGCATTCATGAAAAATCTCATGATAAACCTGGCAGGTGTGAGTTCTATTTTGGTGGAGGTAAGTGTTGGCTAGGAGCAGAGTCTGTTTCCATCTTAGAACATTCTGGCAGAGTTCTAATGCACTGAATTCACATCCTCCAACAACTGAGGGGACAGAGACCACATCCAACACACACAGGAACCTAAATTAAATACTGGCAATCTCCAGCAGCCACCAACAATGCAATAGTATCTGCACACTGCAGCTCCATGAGCTGATCCAAAACCCAACCAACACCTTTATCCTGTGGGATGACGTGTAGTATTCCATCAGCCAAAGTTCTATGAAATTTTGGAAGTTGGCTCTGTCAGAGCTAAGGGCTGCTGATATATTTATAAATAATAATAAATGTCTGATGAAAAAACAGGGAACAAAAAATAATCATAAACATGGCAATACCTAAGGTGAGTAACTTAGAGACAAGACGACTAGGGACACCTGGAAAAAAAGTGCATTTGTTCATTTAACCCCACCAGATCTGATTCAAGTGGGAAGGCGGTTTATGATCAGAATGATTTTCCACACATCAGAGCTGAGACTGAAATTTTATTTTATTTATTGGGAAGTAGAATGCTGCATTATGTTTTCATTGGGAAGTAGCATGGTATGTTGGGAAAGGCCTGCATTTTTGTTAGTGAGTCTTTACCTTAACTCTGAGGCCCATTGCTTACCATCCTTCTGACTTGGAGCATTTCCAAATTTGAGTCTTGGTATTTGTATAAAATAGGGATAATAATGGGCACCTCTCAAGATCATCGTGAAAATTAAACGACCTGGCATTTGTAAAACAAATAGCACTGTGAAAATGTCACTTTAAAAATGCTTCCTCTCTCTGGTCCATTAATGTAATACATTATCCCTTAAATGCACCTAATAATCAGTAAAGCAGCCTTCCGTCCTATAAAAATATGTTCGTGCATCTGCCTGCATGTCCCTAGTGGGCATTCAAGTGTGTTACAACTGTTTAAATGTGTCATGAAATTGGCGGCCGTACCTGACATGGCCTTCATCAAGGTGTGGATGCAGGTGGTTTTCCCTGCTCCGCTAGGCCCCAGAGTCATCATTCCATGCCTGACCCTCTGCGTCTCAAACAGCTGGATGACTTTCAGTTTCCAAGGAGGATGGTTGATTAAGCCAGCTTCTTCCACCTGAAACAACGAAACCCCACATTGGCCGACATTCACAACGATTTGACTTACTACCGTGCTTTAGAGATGCATTGACATAGGAGCAGGGAGAAGGAACAGGAGATTGGCATTGAGTGGATATAGAGTCTGCAAAGATTTAAAAAAAAAAAAAAAACTTCTGAAGGCAGATGGAAGTGATATCTGAACAATGTGAACGTCCTGAATATCACTGATTGCACACTTCAAAAGGTTTAAAGTAATAATGTGATGGTGTGTATTTCACCTCAATAAAAAAAAAACATATTGTACAAAAAATATACACAGACATAGACAAAAATCAGGCTGAGTGTAACTAAAATATCCCATACTGATAAGACACATCTGCATTTCTCTTTGGGAATTGAAAATATATTCACATTTTTTGAATGTACAAGTCAGGAACAACTTTAGAATAAAGACTCCATGTAAAATGTATTTTGAATGTTTAATTTAAAAAACAGAAAAGTGGTTGACATACCAGATTGAGTGAAGTTCCATATAAATTTCAAGCTGTCTTTCTAGTTTCTATAGTGGCTATATCTACATAGTTTCTATCAACCAAATTGCAGAGTATAAAAGTTATACCAAACTCTACTCTAGGATTAACCTTCAATACAAGATGATGAGATCATTACTATTGAAATCTTCATGGTACAGCTAAGGAAACTGAGGCCGAGAGTGACTGAACAATCTCCCAAGACGTTCAACTTGTAGCTCTCAAGTTGAGATTTGAGCCCAAATGTTCTGCTCCAAAATCTATGCATGGCTTAACCATCATGCTATGCTTAAATTCACCATAAATGATTTTTATTTTATTTAAATAACTTTGAATAATAATCACGTATCATTTATGTCATTATTTGCTCTTCAGATTTTTCATGTACTCAAATAACTAATATAAGCATATTTTTTAAATTTTTTTGGTTTTTTTAAATTTTTTTGGTTTTAGATGGATGCAATATCTTTATTTTATTTTAATGTGGTGCTAAGGATTGACCCAGAGCCTCAAGCACGCTAGGCGAGCACTCTACCACTGAGCCACAACCCCAGCCCTAATATAAGCCGTCTCATAAATTAGTTGATACTTAGTTCTTTTGGTAGTGCTACAAGTTCAGCCAAATGATGAGGAAACTCAGACTTTTATATACTAATTTTAAGCAAAACATACATCCAGTGCTACTGCATTTGATTTTTATTGCAAATGTTTTCAAGGAACTAAAATGCATCTTATAAATATGAACAAATCACCTTCTTTTAGAAAACAAACTTTTTATTTCCAAACCTTCTTTATGAGAAATCAAATTGAGGCACAAGGTCTTGTAATTAATTTCCATTCGTGGGAAGACTGTAAAAATTAAACAGCAGCAAGTACCATGGGAAATCCAGACTCCGAATGGTATGCATAGGGTAGTGGATCCCTCCACCCAGAGCCTAAGGAACAAATCTCAAGAACAATAGCTGAGAGGCCACATAAGTCCACTGCAAGTAACACTCAGAGACAGGAGTCTGGAAACCACAGCAAGGTGGCAAATGCCAAGGCCAACCACAGAGCCACACCACACATGAGCAAGGCAACCATCTGATTGCCTGTCCGCTGATCGCCATATTACCTGTCCAATGATTGCCATATTACCTGTCCGATGATCTCCATATTACCTGTCCGCTGATAGCCATATTACCTGTCCACTGATCTCCATATTACCTATCCACTGATTGACATATTACCTGTCCACTGATTGCCATATTACCTGTCTGCTGATTGCCATTTCCAGTTCAGGGTAACCTGCCTTGTCCAGAAGGATATTTGGGAAGAGATCTTCAATTAAACTCAAAAATAAGGGTTCATCCTCATCAATCTAAAAAAGAAAAGAAAGGAAAATCAGACTATTTGAGCACAAACATAAGAATATATAGATAAATAAAAATGCCCAACATGGCCCAAGTTATTTCTGAATTAATAATTCATGAACTATCATTACCATTCATAAATATCACCTTCATCAAAGTTGAGTAATATTTTTCTCATCTTTACCATAGTTTTCTTAAAAATTCAAAACTGAGAAAAGAAGGAAGTAGAAAGAAAATACCACCTGCATGACAACCTTTCCACAAAATACCTAGTTAGGTGGATGTGATGGTTAACATGAGTTGTCACCTTGATTGGAGTGAGAGATGCCCAAGGTTAAGAGGGTTCTGGTGTCTCAGTGAAGAGATTTCTAAAAATTAGTTGCATGTGGCTGGCAAACTGAGACAGAGATTCACCTTAAGTGTGCACCACACAGTCCAATAGTTTTTACTCATAATTAATGCCCAATAAAAATGGATTTTTATACAAGATGACAGCATGATCAAGTTTTATTTCAAAATAAATTCATGAACCATTAATTCATGAATTTCCTACTATCTCTCATTTAAAAAAATTTTTTTTTAGTTTAAATTGGGAAACGTGTACTAGAGTATGAACTATATTAGTCAGGATTCTCTAGATAAACAGAACCAACATACCTGTGTGATGGTAAAAGGGAGTATAAAAAGGAGGATAAATAGAGTATAAAATTATTACACATTTGTGAAATTTAATAAATTTTTCTACCAATCTCCATAGACTGAGGAAGGCAATAGTAGTTAAACAAGACAAAAATGATTTAAGGTATTTGGAAACTTACTTAACATGTGCATTTTTTAAAAACCCACTTTCATTTTTTAAATTCATTTTAACTTTTACACAAATGGACCATAACTTTTCATTTCTCTAGTTGTACATGATTTTGTAGAGTAACACTCTTCATGCAATCGTACCCGTACATAGAGTAATAATGTCCGTCTCATTCCACCATCTTTTGTAATAGACATTTTAAACTAGATAAGAGTCATTGCAAAAAGAACCTCTGAAAAAGTATAATTTAAAGTTATGTTCTCTAGCACTTAATCTGATAATTAGGCACTTCCAATAAATATTTCTAAAACTCATTTGTGCTTAATTAGTGTACCTGATATTTAAGCAGGTAGAACATTTCCATCTGTGAACCTTACCAATTTAGACAGATTCATGTCTCGTAGCACACGCATGACAATAGTAGATTCTGTATCTGTGGGGTTGGCTCTTTTTGCTGCCCCCAATGTCCGCAGGACTGACAGAATGTTACGCAGGCCAAAGTCATAATGGACCTGGAGAATTTGAGAGACACTGGGATTACTTTCAGTATGAAACTATCCATGGAAACTTGAATTTGACAGAAGACAAATTTACAATAATGAACGAATGTTGATTTTCCTTTTAAAACTTCACACAAAGAATAGGGCGATAAATTTCTTTATTTATATACTTTTTGAGCAAATAGCAAAAGTCCAAAAATTCTTCCCATGTATCGTCATTAGCTTAAGCCCTTAGCTGAGAACTAACAGATACAGGGAGACAGGAAAGAGGTGCTCATTTTTCTTGTGAAGTACAGATGTCCCCCTCTAACAACTTCTTAATCCCACATGGGGAAACGTAGTCGTGTCTCTAAAGCTAAGATTCAGAACCAGCATTAAACTGGACCTCGATGGTGACCATGTCACACCTCCGCCCCCGCAACACACACATGACTTTTTACTAGTAAGCAAGAAGATGGGGCAACGGAGGAGGAGGAGGAGGAGCAGCTGCACTCCAGGACTACCTGGAGGAGGAAGCAGGAAGGTAAATCAGGAAGCCGAGCCCCAGGTTTGTCCTGGGTATGTGTTTGTGAAAGCTCCATCCTGCCAAATTTCAGCATATGTAAAGGGAATCATTAAAATCCAGTTACCCAACCACTGTGAAAAACAGGATGGTGATTCTTCCCAAAGTTGAAAAGATCCCTACCCTATGAACCAGCATCCCTCTTTGGAAGCACATTCTCAAAGAGATATGCACACTCCAGTATTCACAGGAGCACTAGTCACAATGCCCCAGTGGTGGAAGCGACCCAATGCCCACCAGCAGATGAACGGATAAGCAAAATGTGGAATCTACACACGAGGAGATGGT